ACGGCTGTGTGGCCACGGGACCAAGTATCGCCATCCCCACCGAGATCTATAAAACCCAGTATTATCACCAGCAGCATACAGCAGACGCGTCACAGAACAGCAGCAGATTTATACGACCTCAGCTGGACGGCACGTAGGCGCGCCGGGACGGGCAGATGTGCAGACGTGTCATTTTACGGCACTCACTTCCCCCATATTTATCATACATCCGCTACTGACGCCAGAATCTCGTTACCAAAAATAGGGAGTATTAGTCACGGCCCTGGACACAGATGCCGTTTTTACAGTCGTCGCTATCTTCACCTGGGTCACCTCAGTGTGGCCACGGCGCGGAGCTGACCGATCCGGACCTATTCGATTCTATCTGAGCCACCGACCCGATTTGAGACGCAGTGTAGGACGGTTTCCATCTCGGTGGTCGGCGCGTGTCAGCTGACTGAGGAGTGTCACGATCAGAGACGTGTCTGACCGCGGCGGTGCCGTCAGCAGTCAGCAGGCGGCGGCGGTGCGGCCGGACCTGCCGCGCACTGCAGGGTCACCGGCATAACTAGCCGCCGCCGCTGCTGCGCATAACCCGGACCGCAGCACGGCGCGGCGCCGGTCCCCGGCCGGCCGGCCCGTCCTGCCGCCTCCGCCGGTCCTGACCCGCTGCCACCTAAGGCCGCAGCGCTGCTGCATTCCGTGGCTGGCCTGATGACGTAGCTACGGCACATGGTGCGTAGTTGGGATCCAAAAAAGGCCGTCATGAGTTGATTTTGACCTGCACTACCCAAAGTCTGCATGGCACTGCAAGGAAATAAGCCCTTCGACAACGGTTGAATATTTAATTGGGCAATCAAGCATAATGCTTGATAGCGTAAGTTTAAAGCGGAATACCTTTTCTTTGCTACAATATTATTAGGAACTATCAGTTCATGTCAAGTTGTACTCACACTAAAAAGAGAAACAAAATGAAAGTGAATCTTGCATAAACGGAGGCGTTTCTACAGCCTGCTAACCAACTTGTGCCTTTACCAAGGTACAAGACGTTGTGCCTTTCTCGCTTTGAAGGCGACATGCGCCATCCAGCAGCACTCCTAACACGTGTCTCTGCCGTTCATCCCTAGTCACAGGTGGCGACTTTACAAGTCGTGTCGCCATTTCGGTTATGGCCTTTAATGGTGTCTGCGCATTCCATCGGCGACGGCACCTCGCAGGTAGGTGCTGACGCAAGAGGGCGTTCCCTGCAGCGGCGGCTGCGGCGGGGGGCCGTGCACCGTTTTCGCGCCCAGTTCTAGGTCAGTCGCAGAGCGGTGTGATACAGGTCACCCGTCTGCATATAGATAAGTTGTAGCGCGCTGCACGGCGCAGGTAACGGTGCTGTTGGTGAAGCGACTCTCTCCGCCTTTGGTACGGTTAGCCACGAGTCCCACCTCGCTGTGACTCACTGAGACCAAGAAAGCCAAGCACCCGAGCGCCCCAGATGATTAATGAGTGATTAATCCCGCTAAGTCTAAAGGCGGTTGTTCGGAATGACTCAAGACCCGGCTTTCTGTACAGCGGATGCCACTACTGAACATGCAGGGCACACGGCTTACACGCGAGTTAATGCCGTCATAATCTGGTGACTAGCTGCTACTCTAAGTAACCAAACATAACAAGGCCAATGGGTCATGCAGAGTGTGATCATTTCTGAGTGACGTACCGAGATTGCGCGTGCTCTGCGCGGAGACCGTGGATTCCGCTGCATCTGTCAAACAAAGTCCATGGGTCTGAGCCGATCGCTGGCTGACACACACACCGGCGCTCAGAAGGAAACAGTGCGGGCCTATATATGTAGATGGAGTGGGGATTAGTTGGGGAGTTTTCCATTGGTCAATAGTCTGCATACGCTAGCTAACGCTAACTGACTTATCTGGGTTTATTTTACTGTGTATAACTCAACTGAGGGTGGAAGAGAAAGTTTGCCGTTTTAAATTATTATCGCCTTAATTGGGGGCCCTAATTCTACAACGACAAAACTTCAATCATAAATATTTACAGTTCATTTCATTCCCAGCTGCTCTGCAGTGTTCAGCGGCGGCAGGCTTGTCGTAGCTGGGCGGCCTCTGATTTTGTTGTGTCGCCTCAGGGTACCGCCGCCGCCGGCTACTTCGCTCCGGCGAGCGCTAACGATTTTGGGTCCGAACGTCCCGTCGCCGCGGGGCGGCCTGCGTCACACCCGGGGCGGGGCTTGTTCGCTGACGTCATCGGTCGGCTGCGGATTTCAGGGGCGCTGGGCGGCCCAGCCGACCCGGCCGCGCCGCCGCCGGTAGCCTGCCGGCAACTTCACCTTATTTCCGCCATCTGGGACATGCATCTGTCTGTGACGTCACAGCGGTGACCGCAGGGAGCGGGCTGAGTCCGACTCCAGACAGAGTTGTGTCTCCGTCAGCACTGGCGTGTCAAGCCGCCGCGCCGGTCAGCGGCCGGTAGGCAGCCTCTTCTTCCCCTTGACTCTACAGACCCTGACTCGCAACACACAAATACAGACACCTAGCGTGTCTGGTCGAAATTCGTATCCGCGAGCGATGCAATCCTCCCGCAGTCTCGGCAGCGACAGCGCGGCTGATTTACGGCTAAGTAATCGCGGCTGGATGCAACTAATTGGTCCCCGACTACCGGTTACGTCAGCTGGCGGTCCGGACGCCGCGTCGCGCCGCTCTGATCGACTGCAGAGCCGATTGATCGGGCCACCGGGCTCGTGTTTCATGTCCGCCAGACCGGAGAGCGTAAACGATCTTGTAACACTGTTTGAAAAGATGGGTAGCTTTTCAAGTTGGCATGGTTGCACGGATGAATGGCGCATCGAACTGTGTAACGACTGATCAAAGAGAAGAAATGTTATGGAAGCTACATTTAATGGGAATGCCATCAATTTGGTGTGTTAATTGGTTTTTATTTTACCTAATTTACGTTCTCCTATCTACTTGTATACGAGTATGAAATGAAATGCAAAAGACAGAGACCACACCAGATATTGCAATCACTGAATAATTATCAATTTCACCAGAGGCTCTATGGCCAGTGAAGAAACGCAAATCTAAACAAAAAATCTCGTCGTTGGCCGTCAGACCCACTCCTTGTTAGTCGGTAACAAGTAACCACATAAATTCAGGCACCTAAGTCGGTACTTTCGCTCTGTCGTAGTGTAATACCTACTATGCGCTTGCATCCGTTTTTCATCAAATTTTTAGTTATCTGTAATAGCCAGCAAAAGCGTTAATTACTCAGAAAAGGTATAACAGAAAAAGGCAACGTATTACGCCAATGAATCCCGCGAGAGCACGTTCCCTTTGAGCACCATCTCTCGAGCGGGCGTGGCTTTTATTCCGTCCGCTAGATGGCAGCAGTAGTGGACGCCTGAAGTTAGACTGTGCCGCACGGTCCGTGCCGCCCGCCGCGGGAGAGGAAGAGGTATAAACGCGTTTGAAAAAGGAAGGGCAAACAAAAAATATAGCGGCATGCCAATGGATCCATGGTATTGGGGCTTCTTTTCCCTTCATGGATTTTGAAGACACTTTATGATAACCTTTCCATAGTAACATAAACACGAAATTGCATGGCGTCAGGACAGTCGTAAGTTTCCCATTCCGCACAGCTGGTATAAATCCCTAACGGAAGTAGTAGGTTGAGCAGAAGGAGTTCCTTCGTCCTAAATCGGCAATTGCCCGCTGCTCAGGTGTGCATTCTCCGACACCACTAAGACCGAATGACGGCCAGCTGGTAACGATTAGAGCTACACCGGCCACGAAGAAAGATATCTCCAAATCCCACACCTTTCCACCGAGTTTGTGCCAAACCGAGCCGAGAGGGAGAATATATATCTCAGTTCAATACCAGCTGGCGAGCATATGCAACTAACCAGCTAGGTACTGACTGAGTTCGGGCTCTGCTACACTGGTGCCTGACTGCTTGCTGTCACAATGAACACCCTGCTTCCATGGCGGCGGACGCTACTTGCAAGACATGACAGGTGTTTTGGATCATGAATGGATGATGAATCGCTGTTCCGCAGGCCGTTCAATGCATGTCAGGAGGACAGTGAAATTGCCATTGACGGATTCACAAAGCCGGCTTTTCAATGTGCACTACAATGCTTGAGCAGCTGCGATGTTTTATAAGATCACAGTCACTGCAGTCAGCCGTAGAATGCGGACTCGAGCGGCGTTTGTAGTGTCACAAGCAGATATGGGCGGGGAGCTTCTGATACAAAATCGAATCATGTCGACCCTTGACCTGCATAAATGTGAATGAATCTGTTACACTTGGCACAATACACGGCCTCCCGTCCGTGGAAACATCGATCACGTCAGATTCAGAGTACCGTTACAAAGGCCAACTAATACAACGCGCAGGGTAGATCCAAAGGTTGGCCCCACCCCGCAGCGTTACACAACCGGACATCACATCATATCTAGCCGAGGAATCTGCAGAAGACTTGGCGCTGCGCCACCAGTATCAATAGCCAGAGCGGTACCATGGCTACGGCACACACAACTATCCCTGGAGATCAGTATCTGGGGATACATTTTATATCGCTGGCAAATGCCAATACCTATGATTGGAGTAACAGCAATCATACCCACGAAGATCGACAGGAGACATCTTTTGTGCTTGAGTAGTTTTCCATTGCTCTGGGATCGATGCGACTACGTTCTGTGATAGGACATATTCATTGAGATACGAACATTATCGACAGATAATTGTTTAGTCATATCGCTGATGATCACTGAGCGAAAGCGTACGGATGCCACCAGCCAGAAATATTATAAAGGTTTACCAAGACTTCGTAGGGAAAGGCAGCCCAATGGTCAGGAAATATGCCATTCTCAAAGTGAAATATCGTGTCGTCACCGTTCCAAGATACGAGTACATGCCTATTACCTTACCTATTAGAGATGTCAATCGGATACCAACTTTTTGGTATACCGATACCAAACCGATACCAACTTGGTATTTGGTATTTTAATCGTAATGTGTTTGGTATTTTGTTGGTATCATTAACCCTCACTAATGTTTAAGAGGCTAAGAAATGGGTAAAAAGTTGGTATTTCCCTCATTTTCCCAAGTTGGTTTGGTTTCGGTATTTCCCCACGGTTTTGGTTGGTATTTGGTTTGGTATCGGTATTCCGATTTTCCGTAATTGACACCACTATTACCTATGGCCTTGCAGTGGCATGGCTCTGAATAGTGAACCAGCCTGCCACCTAGAAAGGCGACACAGCCCGTACAGCGCCATCTAGCCAACGTTTCTATGCAGGCTTCACCGCAGATGGCAGCACAAGCGCCACCTGGCTGGGCCGAGCTCCGAGTCGGGCTCGGCCTCCAGTAAACATTCAGATCGAACAGTTTTGCATTATGTCCTGAGTCCACTTTCAAACATGGCTGATTGCATTATGAATGCATCGCACTAATGCCTTATTTAGAGCAGGCCCTATCCACCGTCCTTGTCAATCACATAGAATATTCAAGGTGTTGGACGGAAAAAGTAATTTATTTATTGCAAATGTTGTCATGATTTACAAACAATAAAATCCTATTTAATAATGTACAATGACGAAGTTTCATTAAAGAATAAACAACTACACATGTTGAAATTGCATTACATGCAACTCTTACGAGTACCTATTATCTTTGTTCAGCTAATTGAACAGCTGGGTGTGAGTACCTAACATTAAGCCACATTTTCACCACTACCAAATGACGTAGTTGTTGTGCTGGCGCAGGCCCAACGGCCGGACTCAGTTACCTGAGGCTGACGTGAGTAGAATACAACCACCCAACTCCGGGTACGAGGAGGCTGAGATAGACACCTCCAGGTCCGGCGCGGTCAGTGCACCGAGAAGGGGGCGGCATGAGGTGTTACCGTGGATGGGTCATCGCATCCAACTGGGTCACACGAGGACGTGATAAATCCTTTATATAAGCTACTAATGAACGCAACAGCTATCGTGGAGAGTAAAATAGATAAATGGGCTATGAGCTCCTACCCATTTGATCCGTAGATAGCATGAAATAATTCAGCTCTCGGCAGCTATGCAATAGTCGTACGTGCCTCCACACTTAGGCAATAGTGATGATTGTAAACACGTGTAGCAGCCACTATCCAACTCTAATCAGGGGGCCAATAAAAACTCCTGTGGCAAGCCTGGGTAATCTTGTCACGACAACGGCTGAGTGAACAAGCTGTCTACCGGAAAACACCGTCACGCGGCGGAACAACAGCTTTAGCGCGTATCGTCGGAGCAGCATCAGAATTCCGGGGATTGCGTGAACATGCTGATCACGGAACGGCTTACGGCAGCCGTGTTTATGACCGATGGGGGCGAGAAAAGTGTTGAAATGGTATAGGCTTGTGAGGATCCTGCAATATTGAACATGATTGAACTCTGCTAAAAAATATTCGTGTGCGTTTGCCGCAGGGTTCAGACGACGCTAATTTAGACAAGATGTTATTGATCTAAATGATCATGATGTCTTTCTAGGTGAGATTAGCTGCAGTAAAGCTTATCAAAGTACTTCATGCAATCATTTTTATAGCATGTGAGCTATGCATAACCTATTATTAGCACTAATAAGTAAGCCGACAAAAAGTTTAAAAGCATTGAAAAAGTACAAATCTAGTATGTACTCAAACATCAAATAGCATGTCATCTAGCGCTCGTTGTCTAGCAAATAGCATACCAAATAGCAGTTCCTACTCAGTGT